AGAGCAAGAGCGCGCTCGCGTGTGATAGAGAGAGAGTGAGTTGGTCGAGAGGGAGGGAGAGGAAGCGAGAACTATGATATGGTGGAGAGAGAAAGAGGGGCAGAGAGAAGCATTACATCGTGTTTGTTACGCAGATAAATAATGTTTTGAGAAATAATGTACAAGAAATTAATGAAGATTATGGTTAATATAATTAATACTATGATCTATATTATTGATTACTTCGATAAAATATGAGCTTTTTTTTAATTTATTTAAATATAAAGCTTAGTATTGCAATTGAGATGCTTTCTCATATCAGAAATATAAGTACTTGCATGCTTATTTTTTCATATTATTTATATTTTAGATACATCATCGTTATCGTCATTTCTTTCATTCTCATAGCGCAATATACTTCAAATTATTGGTTTGATTTTCATATTTTATTTTGTTGCTAGTTACTTCATGGCTGCAGTTTTCTACGTCTTAGATTTGAACGCTTTAGTGATTATATTAAAATAGGCAAATTTTTAATATTTTAAATTTACTTTAATTTACTGTCTTTTTATTATTTGCCATTAGAAAATATTTTTCCGTTTTTGTAACATAGAAAATGTTTAGATATATAAAAAAAGTAGGTAACAAATATAAATTTTTATAATAAAATACATTGAGCACAAGAATTGGCTGAAAAGTTCAATTAATTTCGATCACTGCCATAAAACAAGAATAAATCGCTATAATTCTGCTTATTGAACTTAATAATTAAACGTATCTTTTTTTTTTCAATTTTAGGAAGCGTAATGAATATTTGTGTTACGTAATTAAATAAAACAGCGCTCGGAATTAGTTGCACATTTCGGGCCGATTTCCGAGACAACGCTTCCTGTTCCACCACTACCGTTCGGCCGCTGGCTGCCGAGCCGCCGATAGCTCTGGCTCAGGAGCGTTTTATATTAGAAATAGGCTGGATTGTTTAGGCATCTTTCGGGAAATCGTAACATTTTCTTCACTACATTAAATAATGTTTATTTTTATTAATACATAATATATATATA